TCGACGCAACAGATCTTACTGACGGTCAAGGTTTATAAGGCCGGACGTGTGTTCTATTCATTACCTACTAGGTGTACAAATTGCAAATTCAACGCCAACACGATTATAATCCGTACAACAAAGTAATAAGGTTGCTTATTCTCTACACAATTCGATCACGTATACTGGTAATCATATCGACGGAAGGATTATTGCACTTATATAAATTGGAATAGGAATGAAATTTATTTGATTTATATTCGCATGTCATTACACTACGAAGTAGTGAGGCAGTTGACCTAAAGACTTGAACAGATTGGTTTTCTGAGATGTTATTCAACATGTACGTTTAGAATTCGTATCGAATAACGGTGAGATGACATAGTGTGTCGTCTAAGCCATTTTAGCTTATTTACCGTGAGTTTCTTAGACCAAAATATCCGCTTAAAATATAATATTATCTCTGTTTTCTCAAAGACACGATTGACTATATGTTTTATACGGAGATTATGGTCTCAGAAATCCACGGTAAAACAACTAATCGTTTATAATTTTGATTTTCCGTTTTTATAAACTTTTATCTTAATAATCTTAATCTAGGCTTTACAGTGTCGAGTCTAAAACTTTGTTATACCAATAACTTTTGGATCTTGTAATAATACATGTAGCTAGCAATGTATCTTTTATGTCTATACATTTTAGAGTAATTTTGCAATCAGTGAGCGATTAAGACAATTTGTTGAGGCCACACAAACCGCAATTACGAGAAACATTTTCACAATTCTTAGTCTGCACTAGAGGAAATATCTGACAAAAAAATCACATTTTACTATACCGATGAAACCCGGAATCATTATAGATTATAAAGACTAGCTGTCGCCCGCGACTGCGTCCGCGCGGAATTAAAAACAAACATTATTACTAGCCTATGTGTTCTTCCAGACTATGTTTTCTAAATATGCCAAATTTCATCGATATCCGTTCAGCCATTCTGTAGATACCTTCAAAACAACTACAAACATACATCCATCCATCTAAACATTCGCATTTATAATATTAGTAAGATAGTAAGAAGTAAGATAAATATATTTCTTAATGTTGTCGTAAAACGATTTATCGTGAATTTTAGTAATACCGATAAATACTTGTTTGCATTGGGATTCCGTTTATGAAAAAAAACATCGTTTAATCGTTAATTCTCTAAGGAAATAACAGATACGTATTTGTACTTGTATTAAACGATTTCCTATACTTCATATAATATCTACTTTATTTTTTATTTCCTGTATTTATTGTCATACTGTCAGACTGGTGTATGGTCAAATAAACTGTAAATTTAACTTAATATGTATCACGTAGCTTATTAACTTATTAACCGTTGATTTCTGACACCAAAATCTTTATATATATAATTATTCTGTGAGTGTGTATGTCACTGAACTTCTCTCAAACGACTGGACCGATTTTGATGAAATTTTTTGTGTGTGTTCAAGGGAATGGTTTAGATTCACAATTTTGTCCGCTGGACAATGTTTTTTTAATTAATTTTTAATTTATTAGTAGTTGTTGATTTTGGAATGTTTTACATTGGATCCGACAGACGGATCTACCATCGCAGTGTCAAATTGTCAGACAACGTCTGTCGGGTCCGCTAGTATCTGTATAAAACATATCGTCAGCCCTATCATTATCTTTGACAAAACACAGATAACGATATGCTTTAAATTGGGGTATTAGTTTCAGAAACCTACTGCAAATCTTGTATTAACATTAGAAGCCTTTCAAATACAATGTCCTTGCTATACAAGTGTCACCTTTTCGTTCAACATGTTTTAATTAAAGAAAAACAGTTGAAGACCATATTCAATGGTTTATAATAAGTAATTGAATTAGTTGTAATTCAAACCCATATACTAACATATTGAACAGTCTTTCCCAAAGTGGGCGATAACGCCCCCTTGTGGGCGCTGCATTTCTCAAGTTGCGGGTTATAGTAAAAGTTTCGTTTAGAATTATCCGTTAATAAACATATATAGGTCACAATAATTAATTAATTGAATTTGAAGTTATAGTGGTTTTTAAATATGTGAAAATATGGGGGCGCTAAAAAAATATTTATTCTCAAAGTGGGCAGTAGACGAAATAAGTTTGGGAACCACTGGTATAGAACAATATTAATATAGTCTGCATTTCCTTTTCATCAAACTTCGAGGTCACAAGCAATGAGGGGAGATTGTTTACAAAGCAAACAGGAAAGACGGCATGAATTAGTCCCCCTCAACTAGTTAGAAACTAAGCCGAAAATTGGAGAGACTTTGTCTTTTTAAACGACCTAAAAAAGAGGTCGTCAATTTTACAGACAGTATTTTAAAGTAATATTAATATCGATGGGAACTAATATGTTTAATATAATACAAACTTAAAAACTACTAAAAACATTTCAACTGAAAAGTTTTAGACCCAGATAATTCTGTCTCTCCTGTATAAAAATATTTCTACATTCTAATAGATTCTTTGGGATTGACATACTTAAGTTGTAAAAAATATCAGGTAATTGTATGCATTATATAAAATACTGTCGCCCGCGACTTTGTCATAGAGGAATTTAAAAAAAAACAAGTTTTATAGTCTATGCGTTCTTCCAGACTATGCTCTATATCATGTATGCCAAATTTCATCGAGATCCGTTCAGCCGTATTTGGGATACCTTCAAATAAACAACTATCGATCCATCTAAACATTCGCATCTATATATGTAAAAGAAAGTCGTGTTAGTTACACTATTTATAACTCAAGAACGACTATACTGATATGGCTAAAAATTGGTGAGGAGGTAGCTTAGAGCCAGGAGACGTACATAGGATACTATTTATTCTTTTTTTTCGAATTTATGCCTTGAAGAGCTGCTTTTTATTTAACTTACTAATATTATAAATGCGAATATTTAGATGGATGTGATGTGGATGGATGGATGGGTGTTTGAAGATATCTCTAGAACAGCTGAACGGTTCTCGATTAAATTTGGCATACGTATAGAACATAGTCTGAAAGAACACATATGCTACACGAGTTTTTTATTATATTATTTTTAGTATTAAGTTTTTTATATATCCACGCGGACGGAGTCGCGGGCGACAGCTAGTTTATAATATTAGTAAGATATAACATATGTTGACATGCTATATGTCACGTAACAAGGCAATTAATATCGATACATAAGATAGTAGGAAGATAAGCAATACTCCATTAAAGATATATTTTAATATTAGTGTATTTGTTTGATAAACATGGAATATAACATTTAACTTTTTAATGAGATATAAAGTTAATTTAAATATCAATTGTTACAAGCATTGTGATATTATCTCACACATTGTTATTCGCTTATGGCGCCAACATTAATTAAAAATGTATAAATTGTCAGTAAATTCATTCATAACATATGCATGTTTACATCTCTATGGTACTTATACTTAGTTTTTTTTTTAATAAGAGAAGGGGGCAAACGAGCAGTGGGAACACCGAGGTGTTCAACGACGCCCATGGACATCAGCAATACCAGAAGAATGGCAGATGCATTGCCGGCCTTTGACATAGTGACAGTGATAGTGTGTAACCTGATCATTGATAGCTGAAGAAAAATAAACTAAAATTGATCATAAGATCATTGCTATGCAATTCCTATTAATCTTTCTAATATTATAAATGTGAACGCTTAGATGGAATGGATAGATATTTGTTAGAAGGTATCTCCGGAAAGGCTCAACAGATTTCACTGAAATTTGGCATAGGTGTAAAACATAGTCTAGAAGGACACATGGGAAGGGCACATAATAAATTTTTTTTTTATTCCGTACGGACGGAATCGCGGGCGACGGCTAGTTGCTTTAATAAATATACTTTTGAAAATGAATAGACAATAGTATAGGTGTTTCGACAGTGGAAACCTATGCTAAGATAATGTTAGTGTAAGCTAATTATTATGCTACATACGTTTTATGACGCATGTAATTTAAACAAGTTGGAAATATAACTCATCTTGTGTGAATTTATCATTCATGAATGAATTTAATGATCCTACATAATAGTACTACAACTTTATACAATCAAATCTTAAATGTTTTCCGTTACAAATTGCAACGTCTACATAAACCTACCTAATATTTTAAAAACGACGCCTTAGCTATATTTTGACACATTCCTTGCACTAAAGATATTTCCCCTTGTAACATCATTGAAATATTGAACACAGAATCATAGTCATGTATGTAATCGTTTTTCTTTTAATTCGGTACTTTACATTCTAACATAAACTGTGTAGTAGTTATAAATTGTCAACAAAAATATAATGCAAAAGAATAATTAGTAGAAGCCATTTTTTTAAATTAGAAATGCTAGGTCAATCATAATCAATGTACCAGAAAGATTAACTTGGTATCACTTTATCTTTAATCACAATGTTATTCATAGCTCATGTCCTAATTTTAAAATCCAAAGTAATTTATAAAGCCGAAAATAATTCTTAACTTTTTTCCCTCTGCTCTATATAATATGGTCTCTTTACCTATTACGAGAGAGATTTGAGACCAAAATTAAATTAAATTTTAATATTTTATTGTTTCAACTTCAAACCACACCCATGTAAGTTGTCAAAGATAAAAACATTTACGAATGAACAAAGGATTTAGGGATTGTCGACATGCTTGGTAGATCACAGACAAAGATCTGATTCCTATATACAGTGTGTATAAATTCATTGACATCTGATCTCATAATAACTTTCAAACACTTATGTGTGAGACAAAAGTCCAGTGTTAGCAAGACAACTATTGCAGAAAAACTGGTTAAAAATATAAAAATAGTCTATTTTCTTACATAACTGTAAATATTAACAGGCAATGTAGCATTTTAAGCATCAATATGTATTTATTTGACCTTTACATATAATTTATTTTGTTTCCCATAAAGTACATTTGAATTACATATAAATTATATACCAACATAAATCATATAATACTCACGTTTGTGTAATGCATCTAGCAGTGAAAAAAACTTTGTTTTCAATTTCTCATACTCGGGATCCTTGTCATAGAGCCAATGACAAGATAACTTCCATTCATTAATATCCACTCTTTGACCGCTGTCGCCAGGTACTACATACAGCCTGTAGACAAGAAAATAAAACATTTAATATAATTTTTCAGCCATTTATCCTCAGTAGGGGCACAGCAGCATACTCAGATATTAATCAGAATAGTGATATTAGTAGAAAATATTAGGAATACATGCATCCTGTATGGTTAATGGAAAAAGTCTCTTTGAATTTATCCTGGCTTTATAGAATAAAACCTATTTTTTAAATTTTTGTCTGTCTGTCTCTTTCTGTATCTGTCCACAATGTCATGTTTATTCCACATAATCTCTGGAATAGCTGGACCAATTTTGACGAAAAGGTGGCTGATGCATGTGGGAAATTTGTAGTCTGCATTTTAAATTTGCAACCACTAGTATTAAAATATGGACAAAACACGCCACAGTCTTTCAAATAATTGCACTTGAACATACAGGTTGATAAAAAGAATAATGTAGTTTTCTACTTTACATCTTATCAGAGAGATATACTAACAAAAAAGTTATGTTATAAACATAATTTTTGCATTATAAAGATACAAATACTCTTCACTTATAGAACAAAATTGCTTTTATGTAGAAATGTTTATATGTCGTCCAATGTAACCCATATTAAAACTATTTAAAAAAAATTGTGGGACTAAGAAAACCATTAAATATTAAAAATTTAAACCATGCTACTAAAAAATTTATGTCCAATATTAACATTAATTTGTGGAAGTCAACATGACTAATGCAGTGTAAGATAAAATTATTAAGATTAGCATTATTATGTTCCAATCAATCTATGTTGTTGGTCTAAGTACTCATTTGTGCTATTATTAAGGAAAGTAAATGTTTTATCTTGTAAGTTGATTGAATTTAAAATACATGTAGTTATACATTTATGCTTTTTTCACTTTTAATAAGTTTGTTTAAACAAGAATTACTGTAGCGAAGAATAAAACCGTATAAAAATATGTATGGATGGAACAAGTATTTTAAAATTACCTTTTAAAGAATCATAGTGATTAATATAGAAGAAACATATTGACAAGTTTTTAACACCTACCCTTACCCCCTCTAATTTTCCTACCTTCTTTACGTAAATATTAAGTTAATATTCTTATAATCTTACTTACCAGGTTTGATCATCAGAAAAATCAAGTGAGTCCAAGTCAATGAGATCAGCTTCAATCATATCTTTGTTTATATTTTGAGCAACTTGATCCATAATTCCAGTGCATACGAGACATCAAATTGGCACTTCACACTAAACACAATTTCACACACAAACTACATTCACTATAAAACACTACCTATAAATAAATAAGAAAAAGATATATTAAATTAACTAACACAATTTGTCCCAGAGTCCCAGACAAGTTTAGTTTGGAATTTGACATATCACCATAAAGTGTCAAAAATATGACGAAACAACGGTAAAATCCAAAGACAAATTGGCACGCAACTGAAGTTAAAAATTTTACCCGCTACAAACCATAGATTCGTAGATGTTGAGATTTCATTTAATGATGTTTCAATGGCGATAGAAACAGTTTTTTAAGAACACATACATAAGTTAGTTAACCGTTAATTTAAATGTTTAATTCCATGTGATTACATTTTAAGAAATCATAATAACTCCCTTGTCCTTGTTACTTTGCCATAGACACAGCTGCAGTTCCTGGTGTTTTTATCGATGTAACAAAAACATAAAAAATCGATATTTATCAAAAAAAAGTTATCAACAGCTTTGTTTGGATTGTATTATATTAGATGTTAGTACTATGACAATATATTAAATCACATTCTTATGCAACAACAACGCAACGCGCGCCCGCAACCCTAACGGGTAGGTGGAGATGGAGACTACGGTGCCCCATTTTGCCAGGTCCTGACGTACCTTTCTCGCTGCTTCTACATTTACTTCTGCGCATTCATGTTCATCTGTTTTTGGTTCTCTGAATAGGCTAACGCTCGTAAGATTACGGCTTTACATTTGCCATTTTCTACAGAAAAGTTGAAATTTTGTAGTACACTTCCTTATACTCTTTATTTGGTGTAGAATCTTTTACATACACTAATTACTTTGTACTAAGCATTTCGTTAATTTCTTACAATATTTTGATCAAACCGTTAAAATTATCCTGAATTATTTAAGGGATAAATTTATTTTAAGTCGATTTCACGAAATCGATTTCAGAACTCCAAAATTGTAGCATAGCACACCACTAGTAAGTTGCAGAATTCTTCCTTTTCTTGTCTAATCACACGTCGTGAGCACGTTGTGGTTTTATAGTTTTTAGTGAAAAAACAAAAATGTCGTCCCATTTAAATTGGATGATTATCAGGAACAACAGCGCCTTCCTGGTGAAGAAGCGTAACATTAAGAAGCCGTTCAGCAAGGAACCGAACAATGTGACTAACCTCAACTCGTACAGATACAATGGATTGATCCACAAAAAAGCAGTAAGTGTGGTCGAGAATCCTGACAGGAAAGGTTTCACAGTTGTGTACAAGAAAGCTAAAGCAACACATAAGCCGGCGAAGAACATTGTGCGTCGTCCATTCAAAGCCGGCGCGAGGCGTTCGTTGTTCAAGGTAAAGAGGTTGCTCAAAGCTAACAACTACCGTACCGACTTGACCACAGCCACACTCCGCCGTGCATCCGCCATCCTTCGTTCTCAAAGGCCCATCAAAGCGAAGAAACCTAAAGCAGCGGCAGCAAAGAGTGAATAATTCATGTAATTAAGCTGACAATAAAAAATTAAAAGTTTGTATGACGTATTATTTGAAATCTATTTTTATTAAATAGCCATACATTCTTACAGTGCTTAGGTATTGCAGTATTAATCAAATCTATATGGTGTGTAATGGTATATTGAAAGCTCATTTAATATATTCAATTTAAATATTGGTGTAAGATAGTTCCAGTGTGTCAATATATATATATATATAGTCCGATTATAGATTCTAAAATTTTAAGGACTCTGCGGGGGAGTTTATTATCAATTGAAAGTTACAAGCTCAAATAAAGCCCTGCCCGCGTAAATAAAACAATCACAAAGTACCTCGCAAACATTTATTAGTAAAACATTAATGACTGTCAAGAGATAAAACTGGAATGTAAAACATTTCATATAATAATACAAAAAACTAGCCTCATGCATGATTTCAATTTATCAAACAGCAAAACAACCCCATTTATATATAAACACATGTGAAAATATGTGAACAGTAAAATATACTTGTTTGATATTTAAATTCTGTAAATATTTACAACAGAGATATCACAAATAGATAGATTAAATAGCAAATTTTTTAATCTTTTTTAGTAACAAGCTTCATTTTAGGTAAACACTTTTCCTATAAATATCTATTAAAAGATATGCTTACAGTTTGCAAGTGGAACTTAATGTGTTTTAATCTATATCCATACTCAGAATCTTTAATTGGTCAAGCAAGATCATTTAATTACTCTGAGACGGCAATATAACATTGTGCTTTTACAATTCTATGTAAATCTTAGTGGTGTATATAAAAAAGTTTGTATTGAAGCAATATATCATTTTGAAGTGTGATTTTACAAACATGGTAACTTACATAGCAACTAAACCAAAAATTTTATTAAACTTGTGGCAAGCATAGGACAATTAAAGTTACAATTAATTTTGACTTCACTAATTTTAATTAAATTCATTGTTTTATAAATATTATACTGATAAAGGAATGAAATAAAGGTGTTTAAATATTTCCACTGATAACATGCGGTTTCAGTAATTGATAAATTTCCAAACAATATAGTGACTTAAATTAATTTTAAATTGTGTAAGATGACATGATTAGAATATTTTCAGGTACAAAATACGTAAAAGTGAAACAAAAGGCACAAATATTCAACTTACAGTTATTACAAGGCACAATACCCCAGAATCTATAATTTAAATGATTCATACTTAAGTCCATAAAACTTCAAATCCCTTTAACATGTATTTTTATAGGACTCAGTTATTATATAATAAATTGTTTTATGGAACTTATTTACCCACATTTTTTACAGTGAGTGACGGAGTTAAAATAGTTGCCAGCTAAGAGTGATGTGAGTCTTACACCATTTTCAAATATTTTTTTACCGTTTCCTCTAATTTCTAAAGTGTACATCATATATAGACCTGCACAATGTGTCAAATAAAACATTTTCTTCACTTGTGTAAGGGCCTTTATCAGTAAAACTGGATTAATTGATGGTTTTCGAGAAGAAAAAACCTGTATAAAACATATGGTTTTCTCTGTTTTATATATTTTATACAGGGATTGTGGTCTCAGAAACCAACAATAAGTACAATTAATAGAACATTGAGGTTCACATTTTTTTCTTAAACTTGCTAGACAGACATTTAACATACAATTCTATACAAGCTCATTTTAATTTATCGTGATGCTTTAATTTGTTCCTTTAATTAATATTTTTACAAATTTCGTTTAAAATTTCATTTTAACTAACTATTTAGACAAATACCCTACATAGGCACACATTTATTAATCCTATCTGACATTCATTGTATAATACTTAACAATTTTCTTTAAATATCTGAAGTTATTTTGGGTTATATGACACACATGGAGTGAGTGAGAGAAATGCATACCGGAGCTATATGCAAGACAGAGAAAAAACATCTCCCGCCCAAGTTCAAGCAATTAAAGAAATTTGAATAGGGTTATGTAGGTAATTGAATGATTTTATCATACTTGTAGTTTTTTTTAGATAATTCACCTTATTTTTCATATGATAGTTAAATTTAGTCAGGTAATACAGAAAATTCTAACTAGCTGGTTATTTAAAATGTTTTTTTTTACGAGAAACGGTTGAATAATACTCGATATTTTAGGTTAAAAACAAATACAAGAAAACAGAACGAAGAAATTTTGCATAAATGCATCCCATTTTTCTATTTTTTTTTCATTTAACATTTTTTGAGTTAATATTTGTAAGTTAACTTTTTACGTCAATTATTTCAAAATAACGGGATATTATAATTATTGTCTGATCAATTCAACATACAATTCTAAAAGATTTATGAAAGGCAGTGACGGGGTAACATTACAAACAGTGTTATTGTCCAAAATATCATAATACTGATTTGGTGTTTATGAAAATTTCACTACATTGTAATATATTAAAATGTAATTAAATAAACCATAAATATTAATAAAAATACCAGATAAGGTGGGAGTTCTAGATGTTCAGTAATTGCCGGTCTAAAACACATTCTAAATTATAAATCAATACCTACATTCTCGTTGTTTGCAACTGTTATTATAGCCCTTATGCCCTAGGCCTTAAGGGCAAATATGTTACAGTGTAGTTCTTTACAATTTATACTAAATGCTTTAAAATTTGATCCATATAAACAAAAAAAATATCAAATCCTTCGTTCAAATGTGTCGTGACAATTATAAACACAATAGTTAAAACTAAATTAAGCTACACAATGACTAGTAAATAATTCCATTAAAAGGTTTTTACGTAAAAAATATTTTGTACATAAAATGCGTTTAGCCCACATAAATGGCATTTAAAATTAAAGCAAATGGAATGTAAATTAACATTACATATGACAAATCCTATAATCTACTGACTACATCTACAAACATCAATTCCTGAACTTTTTAAGACCGTAACTTTCTGAAGATTTATATGCTATTCAATATATTACATAAGCAATCTTACCGTGAGCTTCTGACAACAAAATCTCGATATCTTTTATCTTTGACAACACAGATATAAGAATATATTTTAAACGGGGATTTTGGACTTAGAAACCCACGGTTTTACTGACAAAACATTAATATGTTTGTTATTAAATTATTTTATGAATGAAATGATAAAAACACAACCAATGTCATAAAAAGCACCAAAAAATTAAATTTTGTGCGCTTATTCAATAGAAATATATGTACTAATCTAACATTTATTTATTTAAAACTACTTTTTAATACACCAAGTGACTTATTTTATACATATTTAATTAAGGATCATGATCACTGGGTTAAATTCATTTTGTCTTTATTTCCGTAAAAATAAAAAAAAAGATTTTGAAGAAACCAATTATATATGTAGATTTAATAAAACACAAGACTATGTCCAAAAAATTGAACATAAATAGGTCTTTGTAAAATTATTATCATGAAATAAACTAAACTAACATGATTATGAACAATAATCATCAAACACCAAAAAACTAATTTCATTAACAATCTATTAGACTTGACCAGGAATGTTTTTCATCAACCTACTGGAGTCAGCACAATCTAATTTTCATCATATTATATGAAAAAACAATATAATTCGCGACGATGCTATCTCCAGTAGCGGACGGCAATTGTAATTACAACTTAATAAATACTGATAACTTAGAACTTAAGATAAATCCGAAAAAAATCCTACTCAAAAGGACCAATAATGACCATAAATAGGTATATTTCAATTGTAATTACTCGATTTTTGGTAAATTCGATTATTCGCATGCCAGTTTACTATCAAATGAACTAAGGGCAATGCCAAATGCTTGAAGAGCACATAATGGATATCTGAAATCCATAGTAAAGATATCTTCTGATATACGACCAAACTGCATAACAACATAATCTGGTTCCGAGTCGTGAACAATTTGAAAGTTTTTAACACTTGCCTGTGTCACTCTGCCATGGAAGTTTAGTACGTAGGACTGGGTTTCATCGTTCCACACTGGTGTCTTGTTGTGAAGAACCACTATGTCGTCTAAGGTCTGGGTCTTCAGACGTTCGAGTAGGGTTTCACTGTCATCTTGTGGGGTAATTGTAACTCTTTGCCGATCAGGTGTCATACCAGGTAGGACTACGGTCATTTTTCGTGGTCCTTTGAAGCCTAGTACGTTTGTATCCTATAATTGATTAAATAAATAAAATTAAATCTATGCAAGTTATAAGCAGTGTGAATAAAATTGAAATATTTAATACAAGTTCCGTAATATCTTAATATGGGTTTCATATCTGTCTGCTATAAAATATTAATTATCAGATTACTATATGTCCATACTGAGAGTCTCGGAGCCTTGTTAATAGTGAAAATCTTAATAGAATAGTTCAATTAGTAACTCACATAAACAACAGCAGCAAGTTCCTGCCTGGTATGGGCATGATCATGTTTTCTCCAAGCTTTACCATTGTCATAAACTGTGAAAGCTGTACCAAGCAGGTTTGAGCGCAGCTTTCCAGCAAAACTGTCTGCTTGACGCGTCAGTTCAGTTGGATCAGTTGATATTAGGTAATTTGATGTTGCTGATTTCTTGCGCTTTCGACCTGTAAAAGGAAATTTTACTTGTTAATCTCAATTAACCAAATTCAATACTGCCGCATTCATGGAATTCCCCACCTCTGCACTAACTAATGCCATTATTTTTAGTAAAGAAAAACTTTTACATTAAAACTATGACTGAAAAGAATATAACTTGTAACTCACCGGCTAGTAAGAAAACTTTTTTGCCATAATCCTTTTCTAGGTGCAAAAAATATGTGGGATATAATCCACGATCCATTCCCTTGCGATCCCGAGCTATTCTACACTTATATAGTGTTCCATGCTTAGCTGGTGTTACTACAAAAGTTTCTATTGAGCCTTCAACTGATCCTTCTATTTCTGCATTCTAGAAAAAAAAAGTCCATTGAAACAAAACTATAATTATTAATGTAGCTTTTTAAACAGTATAATATTTTTATATCTATTGTCAACAGTACAAATTGATCCTTTATCAAGAGAAAAAAATTGCAATTTTTAAAAGAAAAACTATGTTACCGGACTAGGTGACCCTTCACGTTGTATAGTTCGGCCCTGGAGGGGAGCAACGGCCGCATCGGCGCACACATCGTCAGTACTGATGTCACGACCCATGCTGCACACGGGTACACTTTCCCCTTCCTCTTCCCCGCTACCATCATCTCCAATAGTTAGTACCTCTATCTGATTACCTAATTCTAAAAGGGAATAGAGAGAGAGTAATTAATTAGATAAACATTTCTCAGCGCCCTTGATGGTAAAAAAGAAGGAAAAACAGTGTAATTAACATAAGACATATACATTTGCAATAATTTATATTTTCCACTTTAAAAAATCAACGATAGAAGGCTTGTTGTCTTATTAATTCCATGTCAGTAAATACTCTTCATTGTATCCATTCATGATAAGAAAATAAAACTAGAATTATGTGAAATAATTATATTTACATAAAATTTAGTAAATCTATTTAAGAGACATTCCAAACATAAATATTAAGACAATTTTTGCGTCCCGGAGGCCTAATTTAGTCCTCTTTCCCTTCCCACCCTTTTTCTTATAAGGATGGGAAGTGGAAGTGGACTTTCCGGATGAGAGGATGCATGGGAAGGGAAATTTTTTTCTTTTTGTGCATCCTCTCCTCCGTCGATTAAAGGTAGGCAACGCATATGCATTTCATGGGCAGTGGTCATTTCGCTATTTTAGCAATTTTAGGTGGTCACTCGCTCGTTTGCCACTTTATGATATAAAAATAAAAAAAAACAATATCTTTACTACAGTGGATCTGGATCAACAGAATTATTTTCCATAAGCATTCCAATAATTTAAAATCCAGATAATCAAAAACTTTTTCCGCTAATTGAATTCTTACCAATTACATTATACCAATCATAACCATTATAAAGATAATAAACACAAAACAATTGTATGAAAACTGAAATAGTGTAGCATATCAAATAGCTAAAAAAATTGAAAATCAAGCTACTGTTGGAATATACATACCATCAAATGTTGATATTCTATTAGTTTGGAGAGGGATTACTTGATCTGGATTGACTGGTGACATAAGAAATTGCATCGGACCATCATAGCCTGTTGTCAAAGAAAAAAATGATGCGCATAACCAAAATAAATAGCATTGCCACAAACATGCAGAAAAATTTACATCTACATAACAACAATTAATATGTTTTATTTTTTGATTAAAATCTTACCATGAAGTTCCCGAGACCGGCTACCTGATATCGGACGTTTAGCAGAGCTCACACGCAAGTCGTTAGCTTGTACCATACCGGAATTCTGTCTCTTCTGCCTCATTTTTTGTTCCATTAATTGTCTCTAAAGCCAATACACATTTAAAATTACATTCAAAATGTTACATTAAGAAAATATAGTTCACTTTAAATAATAAATGAAGACAGTTATAGTCTTATTTGCCCATTTTATAAAACTCACTTGCTGCTCGAGTTTTTGATCCCGGGTATTATTAATTGATGCCATTTTAATACAAATATACTGCCAATTTTCTTCTTGTGGAATAGTAATTAGAATTACTTAATTTATAACAGTATTAAATACAATTATTGGCGAATGTAAGCTCATTTTTTTGTTTATAAATCATCTTGCCTTCCGTTGCCCTAGGAGTACAACAGTGTTGTCAACCATAAATTTTATATGTCAAAATGTCAAGAGAATAATACTTTTTGTAAATATTTTTCTTAAACTCTGTAAAAAGTTAAACATCATGCTTACTGAACATTCGTAAACATTCCTTGAAATGAAATTATACATTTTTCGTTTTCAAAGTTTAGCTTTTGACCGAACAGTCAACAATTTTAGATTTTGTAACACTAAATTCGAACTGTCATCGAAATAAGTTCAATTTTCTTTCATTTTCTTTCAGTAAAAATGGCCCCGACTCGTAGTATAATCGGGTTTTTAAGACCGAAAACTCTTGGTTCGATATTAAGCAACAACATTTCTAAAGCACCATGCCGTTTGTATCATAAGTGCAATAATTGTGATTTTTACACTGGTCCGGTAATAAGTTCTCTTGGAAATAAAAATTCAAAGTGTAAGTTTTACATGCCTTCGTTACATCACCGACATCAGTTTTATTACATTTCAGGGTCTCGTTAATGACCTATAGATGTTACTCACATTTTGTTTAGAATATAAAATATGTTACAGTATCTTTACATTATATTTTAAACATAACCTCAATCTTTCGACAGATAACTTTGTCGGCCCAAAACATCGATTTATTCACACTACAAACACTTTAAATGCTCGTGTCGACTACTACAAAGTTTTAGGAGTTGCTAAAAATTCATCAGCCAAAGATATTAAGAAAGCATATTACCAGCTTGCCAAAAAATATCACCCTGATGCCAATAAATCAGATCCTGAAGCTTCTAAAAAGTTCCAAGAAGTCTCTGAGGCGTATGAGGTAAATCTTTTATTGACATTAACTTACCTATTATATTTCAATATCAAAGTTGTTTAAAATATGCAATGTATTGTTTTTTCATGTAATTTCTTCCATAAGATCATTTTCCTTTTTATATACCTGAATACCAAATATAAAGAGAAAAAATATAAAGGGATAAAAATTGTATCTTCAATAGTTATGTGACAATGAGAAAAATATCAGATTATTTGGCTTACCAAAATTTCTTGAATGTTTACAGATTCTCTCAGATGAGAATAAACGTAAACAGTATGACACATATGGTACAACTTCAGAGCAAATGGGTATGGGAGGTCCGGGCGGAACAGATGGATTCACTCATCAATGGCAATATAAATCTACAATAGACCCTGAAGAACTCTTCCGGAAGATATTTGGAGATGCGGGCTTCAAAAGTGAGAGTTTCAGTGACTTTGCGGAAAGTCAATTTGGTTTTGGTGCAGCACAAGAGGTATGATAATTTACACTTATGTTGCAAATAATAAGATGGAACTAAATATTTCATACATTTCCGGTTTCATTTTGTTTGTGAAGTGAATAAAAGCAAATTAGTTTTTTTTTGTGAGGTAAAAAACATATGCTTTTATTGGCTGAACTAATGAAGATATAAATTACTTTTTTATTGCGTTTTTTTTACAGGTTGTACTCAATTTACGATTCACCGAAGCAGCTCGAGGTGTTAACAAGGATGTGAATTTGAATGTAGTTGATGTCTGTCCTAAATGCAATGGTTCCCGCTGCGAGCTTGGAACTAAAGCAATTAAATGTACTTATTGTAATGGATCTGGAATGGAGACCTTCTCTAGAGGTATGAAATATTACCACTGTTATGTTAGAGTCCAGCCTTATGTTAACTTTTCTGTCATAGACCATAGGACCAGGATATTTTTCTCACTTATAGAAGTTTGTCTTTTACCCCAGCCTCTTGCTTATAGAGGTGGTCAGTTGGGACTGGACAGTGACTGTTGCTTATAAAAGCTTTTCCCTTATCCAGGTTTTAACTGTAATTTTATTTGTAAAACATTGTATAACAAATTTGTTGGGTCAAGATATTTATCAAGCATTTCAAGTACACATATAGAAAAGTGTAATAAAATAAAGTTATGCTATTAAATACTTTAGTTACTAAGCTAAAGTAATAAATTGTTTTTTATATTTTCAGGACCATTTGTAATGCGTTCCACTTGTCGACATTGTCATGGAACAAGAATGCTTATTAAATTCCCGTGCGTTGAATGCGAAGGAAAGGGACAATCAGTAAGTGTTAGAAAGTTACTACCATACTTAGGAATCACTGAGAGATGTGCTTAGTGTAGTTTTAATACGACAAATCTACAGTAAGCAACTATGTGATCAATAAACAATTGTTAGTGTAGCAGCATCCACAGGTTTCTGAGACCAAAATCCTCTTTTAAAACATATGTTTTAGACAGAGATTTTGATCTCAGTAACCAACAGTTAGTGTTATAAATTACTGGATATGTCAAAACAAACTCATATTCAAAGCTTTTTATTTAAGGGCTCTGCATTAATTTAATTGCATTTTTTTTAGGTGCAACGTAAAAAGATAACAGTGCCAGTCCCTGCGGGTGTTGAGAATGGACAGACAGTTCGTATGGCGGTTGGAAATAATGAAGTGTTTATAACATTCAAAGTGGAAGAGTCGAATTACTTCAAGAGAGACGGTGCCGATGTACACACTGAATGTTCTGTAAGTTTGATAATTTATATTCAAATTACCCATAGGACTTATCATCGAACCCGAGTAACCGAGAATCCTTTATAAGTGTGAAGAAATATATAAAACATCGGAATTTTTACTGCATGGTAGCTTAACTTAAGAGTAACTTGTTAGGAAGAAAATCCGGTACTGTGCCGGTGTATCGCAACTATAGCCTTATTAAAATGTCAACGTTTATGTCCCCTCACTAATCATTCTGACACTTAACTTGGTAAAAAGCGCGCCATTCACGCCAAAGAATTCTAACTAATGTCTAAAACTTATGACTATTTTTTCTTTTTTAACAGATTTCTGTAGCACAAGCAGTATTAGGTGGAACTGTCAGGATACAGGGCCTATATGAAGATCATACGCTACAGGTATTTGCTTATTTTTTTATTTTTTTTTATAAATGGCTGTACAACCATAGATAACCATAAATTTCATAACCTCTGTGAGATGTCTTAATTCTAAAATTGTAGTCTATCAAAATGTTCTATGAAATTATCTAGATATTTATTTATATTACAGATAATGCCGGGTACATCATCTCACAGCACAATTCGTTTGTCACGTAAGGGAATGAAGAGGGTCAGCCAACATGGCTATGGTGATCATTATGTTCATATAAAAATACAGGTATGTACGTCTATACTGATCCTAATTTATATGTTTTAAGCATTGGATATATTTAGTATATTATATATTAGGAATTTTATAGCTGTAGACTGACAGTTATCTGACATGGTGGGCATAAGTCAAACTAAATAGCTCCCTAGCGCCTCCCACTAAACCCCTCTGTTCCTTCTACGCATCATGGCGAGGCCAAAGGCATGCTTGCGCTTTCGTCCGCCTAGCGCCTCCTAGTCAAAGTTAGGAAATGTCACAAGATCTTTGTTGAACTGTAGTTATGTTTTTTTCTTAATATATAAATATTTTCTGATGTCACTCACCGGGCTAGATATCCTTGTTTGTTGATTGTCTATAGTATAAATCTAGTAATAATTTATGTTTAAATAGTCAAATTATGTTATTAATATTATAAACGCAAATGTTTAGATGGATGGATGGATATATGGATGTTTGTTTGAAGAAATCTCCTGAATGGCTAAATGAATCTCGTTAACATCTGGCATACATATAGAACATAGTCTAGAAGAACACAGGCATTTATTAAGTTTTTTTTAATTCTGCACGGACAGCTAGTTGATATATAAAATCGTCAATAGTAATCTTTGTTTAAAATTGTTTGATTTTTGTATTAAAATTTATTTGAAATATTTATTTTCAATTTAAGGTACCGAAAGTCCTATCAGGGAAACAAAAAGCATTGATGTGTGCTTATGCAGAATTGGAAGAAGACACACCGGGGCAGGTGCAAGGAGTCTCGTACGATAGAGATGGTAAGAAAGTCTAGATATTTAGAAGATTCCGCTACCTAGAAATCCAAAAATGAACAAAATATATAGCTTGATTGTTAGGTTAACTTCAATGATTAAAAAAACATTGCTTGGCTGTTAAACGCTATAATTAAAATTGGTGTCCAAGTGAATATTTAAAATTTATTTTACAGAAAATATCAAAAATAGTAGCGGTAAAAATGACATCGATTCGCAAATTCATCGTATGAATAAAGATTCAGAATATAATAACAAGAATGAATCCAAAACGTGGACATTTATTGATAGCATATTAGATTCGTGTAGGAATAACACAGCGGCTTTTGGTGCTGGATTTCTTATCACTGTTCTTATTATTTTTGTACTTGTAGTAGCCGATCCAAAGGATAAAGTAGGTTTGCAAGATTATGTAGGGAGGATGCAGGAAGGTAATAGTGGGTTATCCCGAGAAATAGATAGACCTATAGGCTATCAAAATGCATTAAAAAGAAAGAAAGAACAGCCTGATTTATATGAAGCTTGAATTTTTAGTTCTAGGACTTAAAAGACGTAGTGTTCAAGCATTTGGCTTGTTTAATATTTATTTCAAATTAAAACTTTTGTTAGCTAGAATTTTTTTATGAAAAGCAACATAATAGCTATTTATATATTATAATATATCTTCACTGCAGATTATTTTATATATATATGAAATTGTCGAGTCACAATGTTAGTTACCATACTTCGAAACGGATTGACCAATTTTTATCATACATATGCATATTTAGTAGGTTTGAGTATCTGTTATCCATTCTTTAATCCAGTGCAAACGGAGTCGCGGGCGACAGCTAGTTTATATAAAAGATATGATTGTCCACCTCTTATAATATGATTTGTTTGTTAACAAAGTTAAGATTACTTTGGAACATGGTATAGGAGAGTTTGGTTATGTTTTTAAATCTTTAACCGTGGGTTTCTCAGACCAGAATCTCCGTTCAAGACATATTGTTATCTCTGTTTCGTCAGAGATAGACTGGGATGATATGTTTTATACAGAAATTTTGGTGTCAGCAA